GTTTGAAAATGCACTTGAGGCAAAAGGGCCGGTAATGTTGAATGTATACAACCTAGGTTTTGGGTCCGGTGGGGTCACGTGGGGGTGTGTTGTGTTCCCGGAATTGCCTGAAGTGCATTTTCAAACTGTTTCCGTGCCTGAAGTGCATTTTCAAACTGCTTCCGTGCCTGAAGTGCATTTTCAAACTGTTTCCGTGACTGCGCCCAAGTTACCCCTTCGTTTTCCCGTTTCTGGCTGAGGCCAAAATGGACATTATTGTGTGTGATTGCACACAATATCATGCTGTGCTGCTGCCTGCATATGATTCAGTCTCTTTCCTTTTTTCCAAGCGGCCATGTTGGACATGTTTGAGAGTGATTGTACAAGCATGATGGATGCATGAATAGGGGTCTGGCTGCACTACTCTCGAGTCTCTACTCTCCGCGTGCGCGGAGAGCTGTGAGACTCTCAAAATTTCACGTTTGTCCCCTTCACCCCTGCTGCACTTAGTCTAGCTCTCCGTTCAAGTCCGTTGTCCTTCTCTCCAATTTGTGCCCTGCACATGCGGTGATAGCACTGGATGTCCTCTGGAGGGTACAGCCTGTGGCCCTGTACTTCTTGAAGTCGGGGAAAATTCCCCAAAGTAAGTCGGTTGAGAACAAACCCTATTCAGGCTTATTGTGATGAAGAAAGGTGTGTTATGGTGATGAGTCTGATGACGAAGAATGACCACAGGGGATCATGATCTAATCACACGCAATCAATCTGGATTATATGCGGTGTGTTGTAATATTGCGTTTGAGTACATCATTACTTGGTGTTGCAGGAATGGGAATGGCAATCAGGAGTATTTCCCAACCGGAACTGGAACTGGCACTGGAACTGGAACTGCAACTGGAACTGGCACTGGAACTGGAACTGCAACTGGAACTGGAACTGCAACTGGAACTGGAACTGGAACTGGAACTGGAACTGGAATTGGAAGTGGACCTGGAACTGGAACTACAACTGGGCCCATGGGAGATGTCCAAAGCATCCTGCCTGCAGCTCCTGGCACCTTCGGTTCAAGGAATTCCCAGTCCCGGACACTCATATCTAACTCCCCATTCTATTACCTCTACGTCAATCCGCCGGTCAGCGGTCCACCGCAAGTCCCAAGTCCAGAATACAATGCAGCCTATGAGGAGGTTAAAGAGTTGGGATCCCGTGACAGTGCCCGAACACCTCAACAGAAGGCAGTGCTCGATTTCTTCATGCCCGGTAATTATAGTCTTTTTTTTTTTCCTGTTTGTTTGTTTGTTTGTTATCCTCCAGTCAGCCTTTTTTTTTTTTTTTTT